TTTTTTTTTTTTTGCGGAACCAGGGATTGAACTCAGCACCCTGCGCTGGCCAGGGAAGCACTTATTCCACTGAACCATCTCCCCAGCCCCTTCCAGGGACTTTTATAGAGGAAAACCATGTGGTGAGGCAGGTCTAAGGTGGTGGAGAAGACATGGGAACTTGCTTAGGTGGGCATGAGGTGGGACAAAGCTACAGTCAGCCAATGAGATTACAAGCACCTTTGCTCAGGTAAAATTGATTAAATCCAGTACCAAATGAGGAAGCAAGCTGGCACGAATACAGGACAGGGTCTCTCCCTGTTGGGGGTTGGGCTAGTGACTCTTTTGGGCTCTTTCAAGGTGATTGATACTATTTAGGATATCAATCCCTAATGCCCATCCCTAGGGAAGTATGTAGCTGTGTGTTTCCTCTTTTGTCTTGGTCTTGAGGTGTGGCCCGTATGGGAGTGTCTGTCTCTTCCAAGTTGCAAAGTCACCTTGTCTTCCATCTTGTCTCCTTGAGGGCCTGGCCCTGTCTGACTGCCTATATAATATTTCTATCTAATTCAGCTGCCTACAACACTGATAGAGGAAAATGTCACTCCCCCACCTGCCAGATGTCTGAGACGCCAAGTTGGGATTCTCTAAAATTGAGGAATGAATTCTAGGAACCATAGAGGCTAAGTAGGAAGAATTGATTGAGAGAAAGAAAGCTGCTGTCTGGGGATGGAAAGTGGGGGCCCGCCAACCCCGCTTCTCAGGGGAATTTATTGAGCAGAGCCACCAGGTGAGGGGGACTCAACGTGGAACAAACCATAGCCAATGGAGGTTAGAAGTAGTCACTTAGGAACATTGGAAAATCACAGGGTGGGATGAGGTGGTCACAACATCGCCAGCCAGGAAGTAGACAAGTACAGTCACTAGGTAATATTGATCAAATGTGGAAGCAGGTCACCTAGCGAGCGCACAAGGGCAGATGGGGACACTCATGGAGGAGATGGTTACGGAGGGCTGGTGCCCAACCAGGGTGACTGATGCCTACTGCTGTCCTCCCAGGGGAAGACCTGGGCCAGTAGTTCTTTTCCTTGAAGCCTGACCTTCAGTAGAAGGGCCTCCTGCCACAGTTGTCTTCTGCGCTGACCCTGTCTGACTGCCTAAGATATTTCTATCTAACTTAACTACCTATAATATTCCCATCCCCAAAGTGGCCCCTGAGCATGACAGGACTGTGTCACAACCACATTGCCTAAAAATGGTCACTTTTATGTTTTTCTGTAAGATTCAAGGGTCCCCCCCACAACACCCTTTTTTTTTTTGGCAGAACCGGGGATTAAACTCAGGCCCTTGCGTTTGCCATGGAAGCACTTATTCCACTGAGCCATCTCCCCAGCCTTCCCCCCCAACACTTTGTACTGGCAACAGCCCAGGGTCTTCACAGTGGGCTACATCCCTACTCTTTCTTTAGTTTTTTTCTTTTTTATTTTGAGGAAGGATTTTGTTAAATCACTAAATTTACCAGACTGAATTTGGTTGGACTTGTGACCTTCCTGTCTCGGCCTCCTGAGTGCTGGGAGAGCAGATGGAAGCCACCATACCCATGTCACTCACCTTCCATGGCTTTCACTCTGCACTTGGCTGTGATTTTTTTTTTTTAATTTTTTTATTTATTTATGTGTGTGTGTGTGTGTGTGTGTGGCCACCTCAGCCCACCAGGGGGCAGGGCTGGCTGGCATGTGGTGCTGGGGGATTGAACCGCGGTCCCAGTGCTTTGTTAAGCTTGTTCTAAGTAGGTGCTTT